GAAGGGGCTTAAAATAAAACTAGAAAATCGTCATGATAAGACACATCCAATTTCAGTTGAACTCCATTTTTGGCGTCACTATGAAGAGCAGCATGACAAGCCATCAGATGAGTTTCTAGAAACTTTATTCCCTTGGGGCCATCTGACCAGTTTTACAGGTAGCATTGGAAACCCTAAGAATGGGAAAGATGTCCTAAGCTACTGCATCAAATTGAAGTCTATTAAAGTTCAAGTGATGACCGTTGCTTCTTTAAATTCACTTAGCCGCAGTTTGAATGGCTTCTATAAATCTCTCAAGCATGTATGCATTGCACTCCCAGACGATATCCCTCTCAAAGAATGTCCTCAGCTGAAGAAATTCAACAATTTGGAGCTTCATGTAAAAGGCATTCAAGATGTTAGTAAAGGACCCTAGGCAGATGTCATCAATCATATTTCCCCCCCCAATCCCTTGCCCGTTGTTGTCGTGGGGAAGCTTAGGAGGCGGAGACTGGTCTTTTTTTTCCCTTCCCACTTTTGTTTCTGTCCCTTCACCAAACCCTTCTGCTATCCACCTCCTAAGGTTTGGGAGTCGTGATGAAAGGATGAAAGGCTGACTTTGTGCCAGTCCTGAACGGCCTGAGGGAGCCATGGGCACGGTATTCCCCTGACTTTAGTTATCTTGCCCTTACCCCTCAAGGGGACCCTGAGGGGTGGACTGCTTTTATCCCCAACATAATCCAGGCTTACCATGGCCAGTAATGAAAATATATCCCCACTGTTAGGGGCAATGAGGCTTGCCCCTTTATCAAATAGCCCCAAAGAAGTAAACCCACCCGATTCCCTGACCCCAGGCTCTCCTTTGACCACGGCTCCGAACACTGCAATAACTACCCCTTCATCAATGCCTACTAGTACAGTAGCCAACAATCAACCCTCAAGGAACATTTCCACTCTCCCAGCATGCTCAACTTCAACACCTCTACCCCCACAACCTCCAACATCAACCACCCCATCCTCCCTTATTAATACCTTACAGCCTTATTACCCACCTCTCCATTACACTACTTCCCCCAACACTACTCCATCTTCATCACGCCCCGCCCTTCTACCACCCCTATCTCTAAAACAATCTTGAATACTCTCTTTAGTGCAGCCAAATGGGACCGATTTTTCGTGATCCCTCCCACAGCTCCCTACTCTGACACCCTTCTCTTCCAACAATGCCTCCAAAAACAAGTAGGTAAAGTCTCTTTCCGTATCCGACCCGACCGCTCCCGTCTTGTCACAGTAACATCCGAAAACCAAGCTATAGCATTAACAAAACTAACTGACCTATATGGTAACCCCATCCTTGCAGAACCCCATCCAACCCTCAATACTTGCACCGGAACAGTCTCAATCTCCCCAGCAAATTGCCCAATCTATGACAAAGATTGGTCAGATTGTGGAGAAGACCTACTTGCCTGTCTCACAGACTATGATGCAACATCAGTACAATGCTACTCCATTCCCCCCAGAAGTCATCAAAAGAAAACCACTAACATAGCCAAAATTACCTTCCGTAGACATGACCTTCCCTTTAACGTCTACATAGGAGGAGAATCCCTCCCTGTTTGTCCATACCAACCTCCTCCACGTCAGTGCCAAAATTGTTGGCGTCTAGGACACCCAGCCAAACATTGCCGTTCCACAGCCAGATGCCCACTATGTGCCCAACCTGGCCATACCCGATCTAACTGCTCTGCACAATCACGCACATGTGCCAACTGTGGCAGCCCCCATAATGTATTTCATAGGGGCTGTCCCACCTACAAATTTGAATCTGAGGTAGCAACTCTCAGATTCAAACTTGGACTCACACTACGTGAAGCCAGACAGGAAGCACGTTGACGTGGATTCTCTCTTACTCCTTACTCCAGTAATACTGCTCATTCTAACACTTCTCCTAAACCCACCCCTCCTACATCTAACCCCCCCACTTCTACCTCCTACCTTCCCCAGTCAAACTCTTTTGCCATCCTAAATCCAGAAACTCCAATCTCTACTACAGATACTCCAATCACCACTACAACCCCAACACCTTCCCCTCTCCCTCCTCGCACTACCCGTAACAGACAGAACAAACGTTCCACCCCCTCTTCTCCTACCACACAATCACCCCCACCATCCTTTGCCCGTACTCTTGAGACACCAGTCCTCTCTTCCCCCCCTCACAAGAAATCCTTTATCTCCCAAAACTCCCCAACCAACTCCACAGAAGAAACTATTGAAAATATTCAAGATTACTTAATGAAAACTGACACTCAACCTACAACTCCTGCTCCTTCCACACTCCAAGTAATTGCTGATATCCATCCTCCTCCTAACGATATCCCCCCTTACACCCTATCCTCCTACCCCCTCCCAACACAGCCCATCCTCCCTGACCCCAACCCCACCCACATTAACCCTCCCACCATCCCTTCTATCTCTTCCACTCCCTCCATCTCCTAATACCCCTCCTGATAGAACACCAACTCCCACACCTCTCCCATCTCAAACCTCTCAGTCCTTATCCCACCCTCTAGCTGCTTCCCCTTCAAATTCTCCAGCACATACTACAATCTATATCACTAAATCAACGAAAGCATAACTATCCTTCATTGGAATATTCGTGGTTTCCGCTCCCACAGACCTGACCTTCGTCATATCCTTTCCTCTTATAACCCATCTATTGTATGCCTTCAAGAAACCTTTCTTACACATCCTCCAATACCAATCTCCAATTATCATTTTGTCTCTTCCCCACATTCCCTTTGTGTCTCGTCCATACTTTAATCTAACACCCGACCTTTAGCCCTTTCACTCACCAATTCCTTTGCCCAGCTTAGACAACTAATCACAAACTCAACCACCCTTCACTAACATTAACTATAGTGCTACATGACCTTGTATGTCTAGCACATTTATCTTGCTTTTAACCCTTAACCATTAACCATCAATCATATTTATGGAGAATAAGTTTTTACCTCTGTTTCATTAGTTTTTAAACTTTATTCTAAATGCAAGTAATTATCACTAGTTACTTGCTGATTGATTCTGTGAAAGTATATACCATTTCATTTTTTAGCTGTCGTTCAAGCCTCTATTTTATTTTTTATTTCATTAATTAATTAATTAATTAATTTATTTATTTATTTATTTTACTGCCATTCATGTACATTTTTCTTATGAGACACCTGTGAATTATGATATGTTTTCATGACTGGTGAGTGATTTTGCATGGTACAACCACAAGTACCTAGTGTATATCACACAAATATATGTTGTACATGATCATGCACACTGTAGATGATTCTCTCACTTTTTCTCATGCTGTTTTTAACATTATGCAGTCCCACAGTATATTACAACTTAGACAACTGTCAAAAAAAAAAAAAAAAAAAAAAAAAAAAAAAAAAACGTTAATTTTTTTTTTATTTCCATTAAAGAAATGCCAAACACGGACTGCTGACAAGTAAGCAGGCACCTGAGAACATCATGAAGCTGGTGAAAAATGTACAGGGTTTTTTCCAAGAAATTATTGTGCAAATCAGTACTTGAGGCACATACCAAAACTTATGTCCCACATGGTTTCAATAAAAAGTTTGTCCATTGGTGTGTTTCCATGATTTTGCAGAATTAGTAATAAACAAAGAATGGATTGCTGTAATCCAATGGTTCCCACCTCTAAGTTGCAAGGGGAGAGAAAAAGTTTAATACTATTTTTACTGTTAATAATGATAAGAGAGCAGAAGTCCAGAAACAAAGAGTGTAAAATAATTATAATAGTTTGAAGAAGTAAAAGTGTTAGTTACTAAAATTCATATGGGGTGGTTTTTGAGTGAGTGGGATGGAATGGGGTAGGGGAACTTGGAGGAAAATGGATATTGGTAAATACTTTGAATGCAGAGCAAATAGAAATAGAGGGATTAGAGGGTGGATGAGGATGTGAATTATTCTCTTGGGTCATGTTTTTAAACTTTTGGATGCCTTCAAGATATTCTGGAGGGGAGCTGGGTGGTGAGGTCTAAGAAACAAAGGTTTTCTTATGTGGAGGAGAAGGGGGAATAGATGTCTGAGGAGTAGAGGAAGAGGTGGGTGTAGGAGAGGATGGAGTGGAACGTATAAATTGTCTGGTGTGACAGGTAGAGTGAGGAGGAGAAGTGGTAGAGTTAGGAGTATCTGGATTTAGACTGGAAAAGTTGGTTCAGGGCAGAGGGAAAATATACTTGGGTAGATGCTGAGACTTTTTGAGAAGATGGGAGGTGAGTGGAGCTAAGTACAGAATACCATGCAGTAGAAGATGGAGTGGAAAATGGGAGAGAGGAAAGGGTGTATTCTCAAGGTTGATAAATGACCTGGGTGGATGATTTGGAATGGATAGAGGTGACCACAAACTTCGAGGAGGGGTATTAGTATCAGTGGTTGGAGCTGTGGTCAAAGGAGAGGCAGGGGTTGGCAAACCAATGAAATCAAATTTAGATAGGCTAGATGATGAAGGGGCAAGCCTTAATGCCTAATAAAGGTAAAAAGTCTTCATTATTGACCACGGTGAGCCTGAAATAAATGTGGAGAGGAAACAGTCTACCCCTCAGGGTCACCATGAGGGGTAAGGACATTCATGACTGACACAGTGCTAGCCTTTCATCCTTTCTGCATGGTTCTCACACCTTAGGAAGTGGACAAAAGAAGGGGATAATAAAGAGAAGGAAAGGATAGAGGGAGATGAAAAGGACATGTGAAATTAGTTGAAATGAGGGCTGAGGTCCAAGATAGGGATAATCCCTTACATTGGGCCTCAGTCTATGTCTCATAAGGATTAAGGGGGGGGCAAAATAATTTGATTTGAAAAAATAAATTTAGTCAACTAAAGACTCATTTTAGTAAAGAGCTTGATCAGGTTGTGCTTAAGGAGACATTGAAAAAGAGTAAAAGATAGAAACTGGCTATATAAAATTAGGGAGAGTGGGGATGAGGTGAGATACAAAATCAGGATGGAAAATTCGTATTTTATTTTTTACTTTTTATTATCATGTGAAAATATAATAAAGCTAAGATTCCATGGAACCACATAATAAATAACCAATTACCAGATATGTTAAGTTTTCTCTTCCAACACTGAAAATTCACATAAAAATAAGATATGGTATGTCTGTGTATGTGTATGCTAATATTTATTTTTATGGAAGCTGGCACATATGCTCAAAGTGTATATGCATTAACAATATCATGAACTGGAAATCTAAATGTATCCTGTTTGTATGTTCATATTTGTTTTGTATGAGTAGGTATAAGTGTTTGTTAGTGTACACACATGCACAAATACTATGAACAACACTAAAAACAACCTAAATATGAAATACTAATTAACTGGCAAAACTGCTTCTTGCATTTCCATAATATATAAAGTTCTTTGATATTTTAAAATATAATGGTAATATGCACATCAACCATTTGCAAATGATGCATAGCTTATAAAGAGTTCAGTCCAGAAGCTATATTATACAAATAGAGGGATTTGCTCATCAACCTGTTTCTTAGTTTGTCAAAATAATCTATATTTAGAGTTTAAGCTGACTATTTAAAATTTCACTACATACAGAAAATATTCATATGTACAAAGAAAGAACAGAAATTATCTGACTATGAAAATTATTTCTTCAAATATTCTACATTGAAAAAGAAAGCAGCTACACAATTTTTATCAGAGGAAATGGTTATTTGCATCTAAAGAGGTTTATTTTAGTTTTAGCACAACAAGTATTGAAATAGCTACTATCGATATAGGATTGCTTAAAAATCTTGAGAGTACACAGCTCCTAAGATAACCTTAGAAAGAATATTGAGGGAGGGAGAGATATGAAAAGAGGAGGACAGAATACATCACTTAATTAAGGAGAACTGTTATTGTATGTTACACTTGGCAGATCTTACATTTAAAATACTAAAAATTGATAAAGGCACTTTTCATGTTATGTCTTAACTATAAAAAACACTGTCTAGTATTTGTTTTTATTTCATAGTTTCATATATATTTACTTGCTAATAAAAAGTACCCTCAACCCTGTGCAATAACTTTTGATGCTTTGCGTACAGTTCTTCAATTTACTTTTTTATTCTCTCTTTTTCAACCAATAGGTGTAAAGTATACTCCACACTCTCTCATCACCAATCATATAAAGCGGAGGTACTGAAAAAAAGGTATATTTACAGTGCCAGAAATAAAACAACATATATATTGAAAGTTCTATCCCTAATGCTCATGAACAATCAACATTTCATGCAAAACAATGAACCTCAGGCTAAATAATGCAGTCATGACTATAAAATTACTGTAAACAACCTGAAGTGATTTCTGAAGCACTACATTATCGTATTCAGATACTATATAACTGCACTTGTATCTATCAATACCAAATATATGTATATAAAAAAACAACTATAATATGCAATCATATTTTTTTAGGAGAGATTCCCTGGTTTCTTGAAATACTGAACTAATTTGCTTGCACATTATTTTTTTAGAAATAGGGTCACAAACAGCCTTTACATACTTAATGGCATTTTCTGAACATATGTTTATATATATTAATATCTGTTGTACAGAAATCTTAGTTCTCTTTACATTGGGTTTAATGAAATGTTTACAAATACTTCCAATCCCAGCTTATGCACATAGCGCATACAGTTACTTATGATAGCACAGTTATGCCTTGCTTTAGCTACATACACTATAATATAAGAAAAATTGCACATTTGGCAGAATCAACCAACTGTTTACAACAAAACCATGAATAATTTTTTGGCAATATCAAAGAATCTAGCAACAATACTGCACTATTTCAGAAAAGTTGGGGGGGGGGGGGGGGAAATCATAGAAGCACTGAACAATGAAAGATACAAGGAATAATATGCAAATGAAAATGTAATTCCCTAGATGTACTAGTGCCAAAGTAGTGTCATACTTAAGTACCCTATTTTAAACCTATAGGGGGGGGGGGGGGGAGACCCAAAACAAAAGTAGGCAGGCTTCTTGAAGCAATTTTCTCCATCAATATCCACTCATGTTGATAACGATGGGTGTGTGTTAATGGTTTGGTGGAAGTCGGGCTTTGTAAAGGCTTGCAAGAGCACGTGCGGCCATGATGATCATGTCTCTCCGAGGCACACCAATTAAACTCTCCTGCCAGAGTGTGTGATGCACCTGGAAAGGAGGGAAAAAATAAATAATTGTATAAAGTGGATAGTCTATCCAATTTAGTTTATGCTTCTTTGTGTCACAGAGCCTGCCATTTATATTTATACCCTGGCAGGTATGAATGGGGAAACTAACAGAGCATAGCATGACAAACACAAATGTTTAATAAATAATAGAAAATTAACAGAAAAATATTACCAAGTAATGATTCCATGTTATCATTCTTAAAATATACAGCAATATGGTAAAATCCCAGTGGAGTAAATAATAATTCGATGAAACTCCCCATTAACTGGTGAACCTGACTAATACCTAAGCTTTTATTTCATTTGAATGTTATTAGGAGGAGACGAGAATAAATACACACAAGTATGCTACAGTATGTATAGACTAAGTTATACCTGAAGATTCTGGCTTGCAATCTGTCCAATGGTGGTGGAAAAGCCGGTGTTTTTGTAAGGATAGTCATTGGCAGTGGTGGCACGGGCTTGCTCAACAAAGCCAGGTGGAATTGGAGTTACCTGTGGGCCATTTTTAAAGTGAGTTACTACAGCATCTCAATGTACAGTATTGAAGTAAAACATATTAGCAAGTGACCAAAGTGTAAAAAAATTAAGCAAGTACCATTCTCTTCACTAACATTAAGATAAAGTTCTTATTGACATTAGGCATTACATAACTGACCTGGGTATAGGTTTGCAGGATAATATCTTCTCCAGGGTCATCAAGCAGTAATACTCCAAGATCATACCAGCTAAAAACAAAGTCAATATTGAGTTGACAAATTTATATAAAAACAACTGTTGCAGTGGGGAAACCAAGACAAGAAACACAAAAGCACACAGGCATAAGTACATCCATATACATACAAAGAGTGGGAGCATCATGTTAATATTAAATGCTGTTCTTATGTCCTTTATTCATCAACAAAATACTTGATCAGTACTCAGTTCCTGATCAGTTCTTGTAATGAAACCAATGACTTTGTCTGATATTGTATCACACTGTCCCCCCCCCCCCAAAAAAAAAAAAAAAAAAAAATCAAGAGATAAACAAGACAAATAACAGTTCTCATAATAATTATAATAATATTCCATGCTACAGCAGCAATGAAGGACTAGATATATAAAAGAAGAAAGAAATACATGCACACAGTAATAAATATACAAATACTGATTCTACAGAAATATTACATAAATAAATCTCAATTCACAGCATACCCATATCTAGGCTGCTATTATTTTCTACACTACATGTTGCATGTAATGTAACATGTAACTTGCATTTTCATTATTATTTTATTTTATTTATTTATTTACTTATCTTTTTATTTTATTTATTTATTTATTTATTTTTTGGCTCAGAAACTTTAGATGCAACAACACCCAAGACATAACTCAACCACAAGGATATCTCAAATGGTATCACTGATGGCATAGGATGGTTTTAAAGGCTAGATATAGTTGGCAGCTATATAACTGTAATGTCTAGCACATTTACTCTTTTTAACCATTAACCCACTGTTGCTGGGAAAATGTGCTCGCTGTAGTATTGTTCTGTGAAACGTCTACACATAGATGGCTCCACAAGGGCTTAGCCACAGGAGTCAATTACTCGATCTTATTAGACCTTTTAATAGGGACATTATTATTATTATGTTATTGACATTACTAATGGCAGTAGAATATATCAGAAAATATTTCCAAAAATTAAGGAAAGGAGTAAACAGGTGAGATAGGTAGTACTCACAATTTGATCTTTCATGACTAGGTACTTGTGGAGCCATCTATGTGTAAAGACAATCAATAACATAAACTCAATGTGGGCATGGCATGTATGTATATGCCACCTTGGGCAGTTTTGGGTTAACCACTAACTCATCATCAATTACAAGGAATTGATTGGGTATGAATAAATAACAAATAACAATAACAATACGTACCAGTCTGGAGTAAATTCAGCAATGAAGTTCTCTACAGCAACAATAGGCTGTTGTGGATGCACTCTGCCTGAGGATCTGAGAGAGTTAATTCGCCCCTCAGCAGATTGGAGGGCAGCCTCGAAACCAACTGGTTGATTTGCTATGCCCTCTACAGAAGCTGGCATACCACTGAAATAAACAGAAATGAAGAGCCATAACACTTATTATTGTACATTTTACAAGACTAGAAGTCTCCTTCATTGTGGACATCCAAATGACAAATGGAACACTTTCTTCTTTCCTCAACCTGATAGGATATATACTATAAATACTTTTTAACTCCAAGTCCTCTGCCATGGATTAAAATTGCATTCCATGTTGAACTGACAATTCTGCATAAAAAAAGTTATGACAAAGCACACATCCTTGAAACGGAACTATAACATATCTTTCTAACAATAATGGTAACAGTCATTATAATGTAAAAGTAAAAAAATGCAAACTTGCTGCGTACCTTACTGTAGCCTTGCCAAAGGTTTGTTGGAAGGCCTCTCTCACTGCTCCTACTTTCACTTCCTTGTCTGAGGCTACTATGATGTCCATATCTCCACCAGAATCTAGTGAAACATCAAATTGCAATAAATGATTTACATTGTTATTAATTTTATTCTACCTCTGTGTGCTTTAAAATCTCTCACCAAACACCAACTAGAAATATATTATTTATGTATGACAAAAATGTGATCATACCAGATTATAAAGTAATATGACACACACCAACATTATTAATATATACTTACGAATGAATTCCTTCATCTGTGGGTCCAAAGTAGTGATCATGGTGTCCATAGAATTCTTGGCTTTCTCTGCCACCCGATGACCGACATTGGACACGGTGCCACGGATCCACCCCAGCCAACTGCCTTTATTTCCTGCAGGTCCTCCTACACCAGGTGAACCCAGATCAACTGCAGCAGAAGCATCTACACTACCTTGGCTGAAGGAAGGGTAACCATGGCCATAGCTTACGTGACTTGTTCCTATGTTCATATGTACACTTCTAGCATCATGCGCAGAATAGCCTTCCCCTGTGTGCATGTCAGTGTAGCTATCTAAATGATTGTAGGATTTGCTCATGGAGAAGGGAGACAATTGCTCCTGATGAACATCTAGGCAAGGGGGGGTTGGGACAGGAGGGGGATTATACATTGGGTTTCCTGGCATATAGAGGGGGTAACTATGATGGCGTGAGTGACCTTTTGTGTTCACAGTGATACTGTTCTGCCTGCTAATGGATAGGAAAAGAATAAGAACTATTCAAGATTCTGTGGTTGCACAGGAATGATAGAAAACTAAGAGGAAAATAAAATTCACATTTAACATGAACAAGGGAAAAGTCTAACCATTTCTTGAGGCAATCTGAATATGAACATCTCATAATAAGATAAACTTTACTAAGGAAGACTCACAGTAACTATAAATCATATAATTTCAAAATACTGATTTCAAGTACTGATTTTACTCTCATATACAGTATATCACAACCATACCTATTCTCTTTTTTTATGCATCATGCAATGACTTACACAGCAGGAGCCACTGGCTGACTGGTGATGGGCGGGTTGGAACTTGATGATGTGAATGAAACAGGCGGTGCTGCACTTGCCACTGGTGGAGCCAGCTGATGGCCTCCAGGTGGCATTGAACCACCTGACATAGATACTGGAGGAGATGGCCCACGCACTGCTGCTGGGGGAGGAGTTGGACCACTGCCAGGTGCTCCTGGGTACTGGGGCATGGGTCCTGCATTGGAAGGTAGCACATTCCCTGGGGATGGAATAGGTGCACCCATGGATGACCCTACTACAGTGGTATTACTGAGGGAATATGGGACTGTGCTTGGTGGCTGAACAGACATGGAGGCCTGATGCGGAGTAGGTCCGGGAGGTGGGCCAGACTGTGGATTAGCTGGAAGTGGATTAGGCATTGCACTAGACGAGAGGCTTGTAGGAGCAGGTGGGCGTGGAGAAGCTATGAAGGATGGTAGGGCAGATGGGGGTGGTACATTTGCAAGAACTGAACTGCTGCCCATTGAAGCTT